GACGTCGCCTGAGTTCTCCCAACTTCTGGGCCCCGCTGCCCCCGCACTTGCCCCCGCGGGTTCCTCGTGTGGCTCTTCTCGCTCCTCCTCTTCGCCCTCCTCCACCAGCGCCCGCGATTGGAGAGACATCCGCAACATCCCGCACCACGTTCTTTTTTCCTGTGGTCCGCCAGCAGGTTTTGCCGTCTGTCCCCTCTCACGGGCATTTCCACAACGACGCTTCTGGAACCCGAACGGCGCTCTCTGGTGTCCTTGCCCGCCCACGGCCTGGCTGCGGAGGAGGATCTTGCCAGGGGCCTGAGGCACGGGCTTCGCCGAGGACCCAAAGGTGGCCAGGAAAGCAAACAAACGAACTAAAGACGGCTTCCTGGGGGCCTAGCAGTTCACAGTCATGTTAATGCCGTTAGAAGCGTTACACAGCGAGAGTTGGTATCCGTGCGCTCTGCTGATAGAAGGAGGAGGCTACCGTACACGCCGGGGTGTGTCGAGCTTTGCTTTTCAAACGACCCGAACAGTCAAGTCCACTTTTCGGTGGCTTCTCCACCCTTGCATCGTCGTCCGAAGGTGGGGACTGTGCGTGCGTATGTCCCGGTCCGTCCGGTCGTTGTGGGTGACGGGGCCACCTAGCACGGCCTTGGTCCCCGGCCTGCGCTCACGGTGCCGCGTGAACTGAACCGCCCTTCCCATCCCTGCGCCCGACCCCCTGTGGTCGGCCCCGGGTCCAGCGCTGCCCACTCCGGGGTGGCTCAGCGCGGAGGGAAATGGTGTCCTGGGACGGCAGGGCCCCACGCGCCTGTTCCGTGCCAGCTCTTCTGGGTTCACGTGTGCTGCTCCCCTGAGCCCCAGCGCCTTGCCCCCCGCCCCGCGGAAACGTGGGCTTCCATCCGCACCTGGAAGGGCAAAGGCACTTGGTGCTGTCGGACCGACACGGCGCGTCTCTCGTGGGGTTTCTTTGCGGAGAAGACGCCCAGGGAACAGCGGGCTCCTCGGCCCCGCCCCGGGCAGAGCTCACCCACCGTCCCGCGCGCCGCCGGGTGGGGCGTTCGCGCCTTAGGCAGGGCGCGTCCCGAGGTTGCCGATTCTCCACAGCGTGGTTCCTTCCCAGTCCCGGGCTCCTCCACCCGCCCGTCACCACGTCTGCTTTCTGGTCATCTCTGCGGACAGCTCTTGGGGACACCCGGTGGCTTCGGCCCCGCGCTGGCGTCCTTCTGTCTTGGTTTACACAGCCGAGTGTTTCCGGCCTCCCACCTGCCAGGCGGTCGCCCCGGCGGCCTTGTAAGAAGCTTTGCTGCAGTGTTTTAAACGCAGGCGACGGTGGAAACATCTCCGCGCCAACTGCCTCTCTTGAAATTTTCTGACGTTTTTTTCAATGCACGGACCTGGCTTTATCCCAGGGGAATTTTTTTTTTTTAAAGAGCTGTGTCGTGGAGTTTTACCAGCCTTGAGCGGCTGATACGACCCCGCCGGTTGCTCCTCATCCTCTCAGCTGGGCTCCAAAAGTTACGAAACACCTCAGCTCGCCGTTGGGGCTCTGGACAGACTCCGCCGGCCGGCGGAGGTGGATTTCCGGTTGTCTGAGAGCCGGGAGGGATTTGCCAGCCCACGCTCCGCCCCCACCCCCTGCGGTGAATACCACGCTTTCGTGATTTCCCTATTTCCTTCCTATCCGCCCGTCTGATTAGTCCTAATTGCCTTGATTGCCTTGTAATCGTCGGCACTTTCTCAGGAAAGTACCCATTGCCTGGACAGGTTCCGATCTGAGATCGTCATGGAACATGTTATTCGCACAGGGCGCAGCGGCAGCCTATGATTTAAAAACCTCCTTCACACGACAGACGTGCCCGTATTTTTAATTCTGCCTTCGCGGCCTTGTCCGGGGTGTTTCTGCGGGGGGTTTGCAGGGCGGTGTTTGTCTCACTCTGAACGAGCGCATGTCAAAAGCGTCGCCGGAGGTCATCGCTCACGTTGCCTCAGCCTCAGGGCCATCGGCCACGATGCCCTCGGCCCCGCTCACGCATCCGTCCGGAAGTTTCCGCATCTTGTGTGCATCCGGCCAACTCCGCTTTATCCTTTTCTGAGAACGTTCTGCGTTTGGACTGATTTACTTTTCGACTTCTTTCCGATGTGTTTGTCCAGGGACAGCCGTCAGACCCTCTGACATCGAAAGCCCTTAAAAATGCAAACGAGGCACAGACGCACTGTCAGATTCCCTGCCCTTCCGCATCCCTGCGGTCACACGGGTGACCAAGGGATCCCCCTCCGCCCCCGCTCGGCGTCTGCGAGCCATTGGACAGCATCCGGGGCTGCCTCGATCTTATTTGTTTTTTAAGATTTCATTTATTTATTGTGAGAGAAGGGAAGGGAGGGCGAAAGAGAGGGAGAGAAACGTCTTGCCCCAGCGGGGGGCCGAAGCCACCACCCGGCCCCGTGCTCTGACGGGGAATCGAACCTGTGACGTCTCCGCTTGCAGGGTGACGCCCGGCCCACGGCGCCCCGGCCGCCGCGGCCGGACGTGACTTCCCCGTAGGCCTGCCATTGGGTTCTGTCGGGGGCACCCCCGGAGCTCACGGCCCCTCTCGCAGGCCGCAGCCTCCCGGGCGTCGTCGCTCTGCTCCGCGGACGACGGGTGTACCTCCTCTTCTCCACGGGTTGCCGTGGGGGGCGGAAGTCCCTCGGGGCCACATCGACGAGCCTCTCGCCGTTCCCCATCCGTGTCCCTCATCGTCCGGCGGGAAAGGAAGGCCTGACGCACGGCGGGCCATGGAGAACGCCCTTCCCTGTCCCTCCGGGAGCCCAGCTGCGTCTGCGACCCCGTCCCCTCGGACCACACGCGTTGCTGGCGGGGGCAGCCCCTACCTGGGTTTTAGGGGAATGTCACAGCGGAGCCGCCGGCCAGCGAGACATGCAAGGGCAAGAGCAAGTGTGCTGCTTACCAAGTGACCCCTCCCAATAAATCCAGCACCCGCTGGGCAGCATTCCTTGATGCTGCAAGGTTACTGAGTGGATTCCGTGTTCCCTGGCACCTTGCCTTCGCGGGTCCTGTGCCCGTGGACGGAGCTGCGCAGAGTTCCCGTTGGCAGCGCAGGGCTTGGTCTGGGGGCTTGTACTCCCCGGACCACGTCCCCCTCCCTCCGCCATGTGTCCCTGCCCCTTCCTGGGGATGTCACGCCCCGTGGAGGACAGGCCTGGGGTCTGGGAGCCGCTCCTATGTGGACGTACCGAGCGGTTCAGGTGGCAGGACCGGGCACCAAGAGCGCAAAGCCGGTGGCAACCCCCAACGCCGCCCTCTCACGTGGCCGGTCGGTTAAGAGCCGGGTCCCCCCGAGGCAAGAAAGAAGCCTCTTCCAGCTTTTCCAAAGCCCCAGGCACGCAGCTCGGCTGGAAGCCGAGCGGGTGCATCTGCCAGCGCGGACGTCGCCGGTTCCAGGCGGGAGCAGGTGCGAGGGCCTCCCTCGTGTCTCCCACCCTCGCGAGCGTTTTCGGGGAAAACCAGACGGTGTGTCGGGGACTCCCGCCCAGATGGCGCTGGGCTCCGGAGCCGCGCCGACTCCCGGGTCCCTGATCTGTCACGGGCGGATGCCGTTGTACGTACAGTGGAAACGAAGTGCTAGAAAACGGAATGCTAATCACATGCAAAACGGAAGCTCCCTGCATTGCAGTTTTTTTAAAGAAAAACTCAGAGGATTCAGCAAACAGAAAAGGAACGCTTTTTTTTTTTTTCCGAAACACATCTTGACGATGTCGGGACGTGTCTCACGGCAGATGGGTAACCAGGAGTTCCCAGGACGGTGCCCAGCCGTAGAGGGCACTTTGGGTTTTTCTGACCCAGGAACATGCCCACCCCCCGCCCACACTGCTTCCTTAGGGAACATAGTCACAAGGGACACTGTTTGGTCCTCCGGGGCCGTGTCCTCGGGCACACGCAAGCTGCCTGTTGCACGGCAACCCTTCCAGCCCCGGCCGCGGGTTCGCGGCGAGCATCGTCCCGGACAACAGACAGTTGTGGGTTCGTTCCGCGGTCAGGGCACCAGTGGACTCTCTTCCGTCGATGTTTCTCTCTGTCCCTCTCTCTCTTTCTCTCTCAAATCCCTAAGTGTGTCCTCGGGCAAGGATCACAAATAAAAACAAACAAATCAATACCTAAACCTCACCCTTCCGAGGGAAAACGCATGTGTGCATTCCGAAATACAGACCCTCCCAGGCGAGAGCTTTGGGCCAGCTCTTGCGTGTTGTGATATTTCAAAGGGCCTGCGGTGACCACCGCCCCATGAACCCTCACCCCCCTGTCCACCGTGGGGACAGGCGTCACCGTGGGCGCTTGTCCTTGGGGCGGGGCAGCCGCGCCGTGCTCTGCTCGGGGGTCTGCAGGCCACAGACCTCCCGAGGACCGTGTCATCGAGAGCTGGGCTTGGTCACCGAAACGATCCGTCAGCAAAGCAGGGGCAACCGGCAAAGGGCCAGGCTTCTGCTGAGTGACCGGGCACGCTGTCCCCCACGCCGGAGGGTCGTCCGGCCTGAGTGCCCGCCCAGGGCTCGGAGTTCTCCCCCCCGCGCCGGTGGCTGTTGGAGGAATGTGGGCTCAGAGGCTGCGGGTCGGAGCTCCTGGCTTCTCTGCTGGGACCGTTCCCAGCGTCCGGGCTCTGCCCCAAACCCCCTGCTTCAAGAACAGCCGGACAATGGCCGTCCGTCCAGCGCGCCAGCACGAGGGCGTCTTTGCGCTGTGACGTGCCGCCACGGGCGTTCCCAGTCGCGGAGCCGACCGCCCTACTGTCTGCCGTGTTCTGCCGGCGAGCCGTCCCTCACGGGTCCGCCCTGCGTCGACGGACGGGGTGCCAGGACGTGACACCCCGAGGGTCCCCTTCCATACGGCTCGTCCCCGCATTGCCCTGCCGTCCTCTCCCTGATCCCCCGTGACTTCCTCGCTGGGATAGGAGGGAGCGTGCTGAGACATTCCCCGTGTGCGCGCGAGGAAGGTAACACGGCATTTTTGTGCTTTTCAGTGGAGTTTCTGTACTGCAACCTGGCGTCTCTGCAGTCTGTCCGGGAGTTCGTGCACACGTTCAAGAAGAAGAAGCTGCCTCTGCACGTGCTGGTCAACAACGGTGAGTGCCGGTGGCTTCCGGGGGTCGGTTCGGACACGCGCGCGGAACGCCGCCGCCCCACGAGAGAGGGACTTTGGGAACGCCGGCGGCCGTGGGACATCACGAATCCGTGCGCTTCATGGCTCTCTGGCTTTGGGTCGGTCCCGTATTTCGCTTGGGCTGTGAGCGTCATCCGTTTGGAACCCGCAGTTTCCAACGACGGGGCGATCGTCTGCTGGGCGCGTGTGACACCGTCACGGCGGTGTGTGAGCAGCCTGCTAACAGTTGGGTGTTGTCACAAAAGCCTTGGCAGGGCAACAGCAGCACGTCTTCCTGGGACCGGTGGCTGTGTGAGCCCTGGACCCTGAGGCTCAGCTGGGTCTTCTCTTCTTCCCGGAGGCACCGTGCCCCAGACAAACCCGCGGCGTCGCTGTGTCTCGGGCTCCATACAAACAGAGACCCCAGATGTTCGTAAAGAAGCCAGACACGGGTGCCCATAGAAAGCCAATACGTGGCTTTCGGGCTCGCAGAGCAGACAGAAACGTGTGAAGGGCATAAGAGGTAAAGCCAAGACAGAGGATGGGATAGAAATACATCAATCCGTGGGTTACAGCCGCGACGGCGGGCCCTGGCGTCGGGGTTGTTGGGGCGCAAGGAGGTCCTTGAGGGCCCGCAGAGGACATATTAACTCTTCCTGCCAACGTGATGGGTGAAAACGCGCTGGGTTCACGGGACCTGCTCCTGCGAAGAGTCGCAGACACGAAATTCCGTGGGAGGCCGCGCCAGCCACGCTCTGCAATCGGCGCCTCCCGGGGGCCGCTAGACTCGGCGCTTCTTTTCCTTTTTTCCTTCTTTTAATCTTTTTGAAAGACTTGGTTTCTTTATTTTTAGAGAGAGGGGAAGGGAGGGAAAAAGAGAGAGAGACACATCCATGTGCGGTGGCCTCTTGTGTGCATCCCGCACGGGGCACCTGGCCCGCAACCCAGGCAGGTGCCGTGACTGGGAATCGAACCGGCGACGCTTTGGTTCGCAGGCCGGTGCGCGGCCCCCTGAGCCCCACCGGCCGGGGCTCTTCTTTCATTTTGAAATGAAATTTACTGGGGTGACGTTGGTTAATGAGATTATAGAGGTTTCGGGTGCACAATTCTGTGACGCATCATCCGTTTATGGCCTCGTGGGCTCAGCACTCAGCGTCTAGTCACCTTCCGTCACCGTATATGTGACTCCTTTGCCCTGTGCTACCCCCGCACCCCCGCTTCCTTTCCTCTGGTAACCAGCGCACTGTTGCCTGTGTCTGACTTTTTGCCTTTTTTGGTCACTTGTGGCTTTCAGTTTAATATCCCACCGATGAGGGCACTTGTCCAATGCGTAGCGTCCTCTGACTTAGTTCACGTAGCATCATCTTCTTCAAGAGGCCAAGGAAGAGTTGGCCGATGTTCCGTGTTTCAGACAGGAAATATTTTTCCGTTTCACCCGTGCGACGAAGGTAGAACCAGACCTCGCTCTGGCTCCGGAAGCTCCGGCGCGAAGCTGGGCATCGAGCAAGCGCACGGAGCGTCCTTAGTCTCGCTGCTGCTGAGTTGGGTCCTTGTGTAGAGACTTTCCACACCACACCTTTACTTATCTAGTCTCCCGCCCGTGCAGGGCACACGGGTTCGTTTTTAACGAGCGCGCCGGACTTCGGTTGTATGTTTGTAGGATTTCTCCCCTTGACGCCAGGGCACGACATGCCCGAGGCCAGCAATTACTAAAACTTAGTTTCCCTACGCCCCCAACGTACGTCCACGGTGACCTTGAGAAGTGGCGAAGAGGCTTGCCTGGTTAGATGCACGAGGACCCCAGTGTTGCCGGCACGTCTCTGCACGGAGGGCCGAGGCCGCTGAGCGCGAGAGCCCCCGCCGGCACCGGCCGGCCCCGGGTCTTGGGTCCCACGCCCCTGGCGGAGCCCACCGCGCGGCGGGCGCTTCCAAAGCCCGGGGCGCGGCCAGCTGTTTGCAGGGCAGCAGCCGTTGTGAAAACCCGCTGCCCAGCCCCCTGTTTACCCAGAGAACCCGCTCCGGTCACGGCTCGGATTGTCCGAGTCCATTGACCTCGCTCTTTGCCCAGAAGGTCAGCATTGTCAACCTCTCGGAATGTGGAATGTGGCCCGGGGAGTTCATGCCGTCCCGGTCCGGCTCCAGCGCGCCTCCCTCCCTCCCAGCGACAGCAGGTGCTTGCGGTAGCCATGACGGCCGGGACACCGGACAGAAATGGAACGAACAGGGCCCTGGGAGCCTCAGGGAAGCGGTAGGGTGGGTGGCCTCCGGCTCCTGCGGCCGTTCCTCCGCGGCAGGCGCTGCGAGCGCCCAGGGGGACGAGGCCGGCGGCTCAGACCCAAGCTGGTGCGAGGCAAGGTCGCGCCCCCGGCCCAGGTGTGGCTGAGCGACCGCCTGCCTGTGTTCTCTGCCCCGCGAGGACAGCGCCAGGGAGGCCGCCGAGGTGGGGACAGGCGGCCTCAGCCACCCGGTCTCCGGCAGCTCATCCTCAGCCCACCAGACGCAAGGCCAACGACCCCAGTTACACCCTGCACTTTGAAACGCTCCTCTTTGGACCTTCTCACCGCCTGCACGCCTGAGTGAAGCCTTCCGAACCCACCCCTGTTAGCGCCCCAAAATCCAACCAGCAACCCCGTGGAACCCCACGTCCCCTCCCAACTGCCCGGCTCCGTGAAGGAGGACGTTTCCAGCGTGTCGGTGGGTGGTTTCCCTCCAAGACAGGGCCGCCTAAGGGGACCCGTATCCGCTGCGCAGCATGTATTCTAAGCCCCACGCTGGGTGACCAAGCACCCCCAAGCGAGGGACTCCCCAGGTCGCTATCTCCTTTTGTTTGCCGTGGGGGGGAGGGGCAGAGGAATTTGGACCCGTGTAGCCCCAAACGGGGAAGGACGCGGGGGACGTGCCGGGCGGCTCCCTCCTGTGGTGGGAGGTAGGTACTGCCTGTCATCCCTGCTTTTCCCTGGGGCGGCCCCGCCTTTGTACGGGGGCGGCCGTTGGATCGGGGTCGCTGTTACCCTGGCGGTTCCACGCCCAGGGGGGCAGAGGTGGAGGATGAGGGGACTGCTCCCCACCCCGCACCACAGGGACCCCCGGCGTGGGGTGTGGGTGAGGAAGGGACACAGGTCCCCTGCGAGGCAGCCCTGTGGGGAGAGCACCCAGCCCCGGTCCCTGAGGGGTCCTTCCTCATGCAAACCCTCCCAGCACGATGGGTCCCTAAGGCCGTGTCCTGATCGGTCAGAATTCAGCCACAGCCCTGGAGGCTGAGGCTCAGGGGACGGAGCCCCGGCCTGTGGACCACAGGGCCGCCGGTTCGATTCCCACTCAGGGCACGTGCTTGGGGGCGGGCCAGGTCCCCCGCAGGGGCGCACGAGAGGCCGCCACACCAGGGTGCTTCTCTCCCTCTCTTGCCCCTTCCCTTCTCCCTCTCTCAAAAATCAAAATCAAAATAAGAAGAGAATACGGACACAGGGATGGGTTAGCGACGAGGCCAATGAAGGGGTCGCCGCACAGCTCCGATGGGTTGGGGCAAGCCTGCGTCCTATTGGGTGAAGGGGGATCCCTGGGCCTGCTTTCCAGGGGCTGCTGAGAAGGCGGGACCACAGGGCGGGCGGGCAGTTCGGCGCACGGGGCGCGTGACAAGCCCGCGTGCAGCAATGGCTGCGAGGCTCTGCTTTTCAATCCGAGCCCAGTGCCCCACCGGGAGCCCTTCTTACCGGGCATCTTCCTCTCGGACCTCACAGGCCCAGGAAGGCGACCTGGCAGCCAGGGTCGGGCACCGTCCTCCTGGACCCCAGGGCTCTTTCCCCCCGACCCAGGGGGTGCCTGCCCCATCTCACGCCCCCTCCGCCTGCTTTGTCCCCAGCCGGTGTGATGATGGTGCCTCAGAGGAAGACCGTGGACGGGTTTGAGGAACATTTCGGCCTGAACTACCTGGGGCACTTTCTCCTCACCAACCTGCTGCTGGACACCCTCAAAGAGTCGGGACGTCCCGGCCGCAGCGCCAGAGTGGTGAGCCTGTCTTCGGCCACGCATTACATCGGCGAGCTGCGCTTGGACGACCTTCAGGGCAGGTGAGTGCGCGCCCGCTCTGTCCTCCTGCAGATGCTGGGACATGCAGGGCACCAGGCAAAGCAGCGTGGCACGCGTTGCCAAAAACATTCCGATAAGCCCGTCTTGTTGTGATCATTGTAACGACAGTATCTATGAAGTATTTCCTGTTTTGCGGTCCTGCGTTTAAGCTCATTTTCCGCAGCCTCCTGTTACCACGTCGTACAAAGGCGCGTAGAGAAATCGTCCTATTATTGTCATTTCCCACATGACCAAGTGGAAGACTATGGTCTCCTTTAGGGTCTTCTGAGTGTCCCCTAGGCTCCCAGAGACACGGCCCCGGGCACAGGACTGTGGATCGCTGAGAAAATCCTCGGTTTAGAGCGGGCCGCGTTAGGAGAAGCACCAAACTATTCCGGTCCACGTTTTGTGGGGTTTTCTTTTCATGTCTCTTGAAGCGCGTGTTTTTACCATTTTTTAACTGTGGTTTCATGGCCAGAGAACATTATATTGGTTTCACACGCACAGCGTCATGACGTGACATGTGTGTATATTGCCAAGTGAATCCCGTTAATATAGGTCCCCACAGCCACCTGCTTCCACAGAGCAAGTTTCTGTGCCTTATACCAGGCCGCCACGATAAAAGCAGAGATCAGAGAGCAGAGATATTAAGACTTAAATCCAGCTGACCCTTGAGCAACATGCACTTGAGCTGCATGGGTCCATTTTTTTCAATAAACCCTGTCATTGTGTGTTCTCTTCCTTAATGATTTTCTTAATTGCACTTTTCCCAGATAGAAGCACGTGGGTGTGCAATCATTTTCATAGCCGAGAGCTGTGTTTTGTTTGTAATGAGAACGCAAACGAGCCCTTCGCTCCGCGGAAATGGGTGACCTCCTACGTCCCCGGCATGTTGCTAAGGATGGGGTCTCGTTGACGGTGGGCCCGCGGCGGTGACCTCAGGCGTGTCCCCGTCGCTGCCGTGAGCTGGGGGAGGCTGTCAGAGCCGTGCCTGCCCCAGACCTGGGAAGCCTGTCGTGAGGGGAACCCCACCTGCTGTTACAGGGGACCCGGGCATCTGAACACACAGCATCGTCTCCCCGCCAGGAGCTGTGGGGACAAAGGGTAGCTTTCCCACCGGAAAGCAACGCTTCCCTGCGTTTTTCATCCAATACTGGTTGCACCGTCAGGTCGGCACGCAGCGACGCACGCGTTGTGCTCCACGCAGAATCCATCGTGTTTCGTTCCTTGGGTCTGAAAGGCGCAGAGAGTCGTGAGGGTCAGAACGAGGCCCGCAAAACCCAGCCCACGGGGCATCAAGAATATTCTGAGTGGGAGGCCACTAACAACCAGCCCCGGCAGGGGAGAAGGGGCTCCCTTTCTCCGACAACAACCTGGAACTTTAAGCCATGAGGGGTGCCTTCTCTTGGAATTCCTTCTCTTGGAGCCCCTTCATGCCTGGAAGCCTAGACCCCTCTTCCCTGTTTGTGGTCCCATCGCAACAACTTCCCGCCGTTTCTCCAAGAGCATATAGGCCCCTCAATCTCCTCGTCTCTCTGGGTTTCCGCATTGGTTTTTCCCATGAAGCCACCCCTACCTGGCACGTTGAAAATGAAATTGGCATCTTTTCTCCTATCCGTGTGTCAGTTGTCCATTTCATGTGCACGCCCCAGGCCGCAGAACCCAAAAGCATAGGAGAAAAGTTTTTCTACCACAGGCTCTGTCTACATGACAGTTGCCACGTGGGGTTTGGTTAGAGTTTTGCTGGAATTCACTCGTTACGTCGATAGGCCTTTATTCATGGACGATGACGATGTTTTACGGTTTCAGTTCTACGCTTGGATGCCGTGTGAGGTGTTCATGAAAATGTCCTTGTTCAGAAGCACGTTGCGCGGATGTTTTAGGAGTCCCTTTCGCCTCTGCCTTTGTTGATTCCAACACCGCAGCGCTGGTTCGCTGCTTCTCTCTTCCTGCTGCTGCTCCCTGTAAACATCCTTCCTGCCCTTGTTTTCTGCGCTGCCTGCCTTTGCGGGGCCTTGGGATTCTCTTAACAAACCCCAGTGGGGGCAGCCTCGCCTCCGGTCTCTTCGGCCTGACGGCTTCCCATTTCCGCCGCGCATGAGCCTGGGTCTCCAAACCCACCAGGGAGACCCTCCTGAAGTCACGCGTACTCTCAAGCTTGTTTGTCCCTTCCCCTCGAGAGCTGTCCGCCTTTTCCCCACGCAGCTCGTTTAAAACTTGTGCTTCTGTCTGCTTCCTGCTGCCCCCCAAAACCGCCAGGGGAGCTCCGAGGGACCAGCATAGGTTCCGGGTTCGCTGTCGTGGCACTCACTGTTGCTGTTCCTGCCCAAACTGCTGTGCTGCTTTGGATAAATTTCAAACCCTCCACCTCATAAACTCAAAGACATACCCAGGGTTGTATTCTTTTTTAATTTATTGACTTGCGAGGGAGAGAGAAAGAAACACCAATTTGTGGCCTCATATACGCGCCCTGACCACCTCGAACCCGCAGCCTCTGTGCTCTGACCCAAGACATGGCCCACGTCAAACCGAACCTACCCGAGGGGGCTGCAGGGCCGTCGGACAAAGGAACGTTCAAGAAAAAAATACTGTTGGCTCGTCAGGAGGGATCGCTCGCCAAGAGCGCGGGCGTATCCTGGCTTTTCGTATCTGCGTATCCAGTGACCCAGTCGTCCGCCAGAGGCAGCGAAATTCGCCCACAACCCGGGCCTTCTGCCTCAGACCTGGAGTTGCGCCCAGTCGCGTCTCCCAGGCCCCGAAAAATCAAAGGAAGGAGAAAAAAAAATGAGCAACATCCAGGACGTGGGAACACGTCCGTGGCTCACGTCGGGTCCCCAGGCATCTCTGGACGCCCGCTGCGCACGGGGCGGGGGGCGGGGCGGGGGGGGAGCCGGCGCTTTTCCCTGCAGAAACGGACCAGTTGCAGCTGATGAGGGGGCATCGTCCCCTAAAAACGCCCCTCAGACTTGAACGAACGGGTGCCCCAGCGCCTTGCGAGACACCTCCTCATCCACGCTGGTTTCAGTCCTCACGAGACGGCACAGACAGGCCGGCCGTCCCCCGGGGCCACGGCGAGGCCATGGGCGGAGCTTGGGAGTGACGGACGTGACCTTTATTAGGGTCCGAGAATGAGGATCCCGGAGTCTCACGGGTTCACTCTCTGTTGGCACATTTAACTTCAAATCCGTTGGCCGTTGTGGGCGTAGGAAGGAGGGCAGGAAGCAAAGGTCAGGGCTGCTGGGTTATCCAAGTCCCCCAAGACAGGGGGGCCTCGCTGGGTGGGTGTCCCCCCAATTCCTGACGTGGTTCGTTCGCGGGTCGCCAGCCCACGCAGGTGACAATACGCTCACTGGGTATTTGCAGTGCCACGCTGAACGTCAGGCACCGATGCAACCTCAGTGCCGCAAAGCCACGTACGGGGTGGAGATGAAGAAGACACTGGACCCGTTCCCCGTCCGGGGGAAATGACCTTCCCAGCAGCCCATGGGGTACGCGGGAGGGGGCCGCACGTGGACGGGGGCCGGGGGGCCGGGGCGTGGAGCATCGGGGCCTGGCCGCCACCCCTTTTCACACCGCCCCCCCCCCGTGGCTCCTCCAGCACCGACTACTCCCCCCACGGCGCCTACGCCCAGAGCAAGCTGGCCCTGGTCCTGTTCACCTACCACCTGCAGCGGCTGCTGGCCGCCCAGGGCAGCCACGTCACCGCCAACGCCGCCGACCCCGGAGTGGTCAACACGGACCTCTACAGACACACCTACTGGGGGACGCGTCTCTTCAAGAAGCTGTTCGGCCGCTGGGTTTTCAAGGTGAGCCTCGGACGGTCCCTTGGCTGGGTCTCCCCGGGGACCGCAGGCCTCCCCGGACGGCCTGCTCGAGGCCGCTCCTCCGGCGTTCCGTGCAACGGCCTGGAAGGCGGCGGTCGTCCTCGGTGACCCCGGGGCGTGGGAGCATCGAGGGACCCCTCCTCGTCGTAGCTTTCCTGAGAAACCCAACCCCAGCCGGGGGCATTCACGCAACTCTCGGTATTTTTCTACTCTGGTCGATTTGGGCGGGAGGGCCGAGGAGGGGCACGAGGCGCCGGGTTGGACACATCGGCCTGCAGAGCGGCGATGGACGGGAGGCAGGGAGCAGGCTCCTGGCGTCCGGCGAGAGGCCGTTGCCGTGGGCACGCGGGGCCGGCCGTGGTGCGGACAGACCCCGGGACGGTGGTGAGAACTAGTCCAGGGAGAGCGCCAGCCCCTGGCACCAGCAGAGCCACGCGTCCCCTGGGAAGGCCTTTGCTACGGCCGCCCGCGGGCGGGCCATCCGCGAAAGCGTAACGCAATAGGAAACGGCACCCAGGCCTCTTGGGGGGGCATTTTTCACGTCCCCTTTTTCCCATGATTCTCTAAAACGAGAAAAACCAGTGTTGCTTACGACGTCACTGCAACAGGCCCTTCGGGGAAGGACCCGATGGGTTCTCCGAGACCCCGGCCGGACTCGGGGGTCCCCGAAGCCCGTCTCTCAGGGCAGCGCGGGGTGGGGCGGGGGGTGTGTGAAAAGGCTGGCGGGGGGGCCGGCGGTCCTGGGTTTGAGTCCCGGCTGTTCCGCCCTTGAGCTGCACGCCGTGGGCAAGTGGCTGCACCTCTGGGAGCCTGGGGCCCCGTCTGAAAGACGCCACCCTGCTCCCTCGTCCCCGCGGCCACCCTTCCTTGTCACTTGTCTCCAACAGCTCGATGGTGTTGATCAGAGACGGAGGCCGAGCACGCGCCTCCTTTGCACCGATGCATACGAATTTCGGTTTCACAGGGAGTTGTTGAAGTGAATATTTCTGTCCGGGCTGTCTCATTGTTACTTAGGGACTTGAGAGAGACAGAGCAAGGGCGGAAGAGAGAGAGAGAGAAACATCGCTTTGTGGTTCCGTGTCTTGATGCAGCATCGGTCGATTCTTCTCTGTGCCCTGACCAGGGATCGAACCCACCACGTGAAGTGCGCACGGTGCTCTAACCTACTGAGCTACGCAGCCAGGGTGGCGGCTGGGACTGTGATACACGCCTGCCTATCAAAATGAGTGAACCCAATGTGGACGTCCGGCCCACGCAGGCGTGCGTTCCTGTTGGCTCGTGTTGAACGGAAAGCCAACAGCCACGGGCCTGAGGCTCGGGCGCGGGGGCGCATCCCGGCTTCCTGCGTGGCCGGGGTCCAGGGGCGGGGCCGTATCCGCCAGCAGCCTCCGTGCCAGGCGAGAACCCCGCGCTCCGCTCCGAAAGCTGACGCGTCCCGGTCTTCTCCCCTTCTCCCCGCAGAGCCCGGAGGAAGGAGCCTGGACCTCCACCTACGCAGCGGTCACCCCCGAGCTGGAGGGGCTGGGGGGCCGCTACCTTTACAACGAGAGAGAGGTCAGGTCGCTGGCTGCCACGTACGACACGCACCTGCAGGAGGAGCTCTGGGCCAGGAGCTGCGCCATGACCGGCCTCGCGGACGTGACGCCGGACATCATCGCTGGGCGGCTGCCCCGTGGGGACAGTGTGGCGCTCAGCCCGCCCGCCGCGGGGGTGTGACCGGCTTCGCGGCCGCGTGTCCCAGGCCTGCCACCCTCAGGGCGCGGCCCTACCGGGCTCCGCTGGCCGCCCTGCCTTTGCGGGAAGCCACGGAGCAAAAGCAACGTTGAGCGGGGCCCCGCGCCGGTGGGTCTTCTCTGTCAATCTCGTGATTCCAAACTGTCCAGTTGTCCTGGGTGCCAAGAACAATTAAATCCTCTCTCCCGCGTGGATGGTGTCCTTTGCTTGGCACGGCGTGGAGGCTCAGGTTGGGGGGGACAGGTGCCTCGTGACGCGAACGCTGGCAGGGGAGAGCCAGCTGTGGGGACGTGGTTGCTTGGAGGGCTCCTGTTCGCCTTCTCTTCCCACTCTCCCCGTCACTCTGGCTTTGATCGGGGAGCGGGGGCGTCCCCCAAAGAATAGGCGTGAGCCTTCCTCAGGCAGTTGGCCTTCTGCTGCGCCGGCCGCACGGTGGTCTGTCCCCAAGCGCTACCTGCAGCCCCAAGACCCCTTGTCATAGACTCGGGCCCCTGGGTCATGTTTCCAGAGCCACAAGGGACAGCGTAGGAGAGCGGCCTGGTTATTCCCGAACTGATGCCTCCTCGTGGACCCTGCTGCATTGTCAGGCCGGACCGTCGCCGTCTGTGGCCTGGGAGGCCGCCCGCCGTGCCCCCCGGGGCCCGGAGAGCGGAGGCAGGTTGACGTTCCAGCCGAGTGGCCTCCAGGGCGTCTCGCACGGTGGCCGCCCCGAAGGCGCGTCCACGCCCTCGCCTGCCAAGCCTGTCATTATTTCACTTGGAAAAGGTGTCTTTGCGACGGTCATCAAGACCGGAAGGGGTACGGATGACCCTGGCCTGTTCCCGGAGGCTCCAAGTCGCCCCAGCCTTGCGGGTCGCAGACAGGCACACAGAGGCTTGGGGACAGAAGCGGAGCCACTTGCAGGCGGTGGCAGAGACAGGAGGAGCACGGCCACCCGCCCAGGGAACCTGAGGAGGCGGACGAGGCGGGAAGGTCCCTCCCAGGAGCCCGTGGACGGAGCGAGGCCCCGGGACACCTGGGTGAGCTCCACCGTCCGGTCTCCTGGACGGGGAAAGGGGTTTTTATGGTTGAAGCCACCAACAGATCATGGGCAATTTGTTACCAAAACCATAAGAGGGTCTGAACATTTCAGGCTGGTCACGGGGCCCGATCCTTGCCCCCCTCGTCCCTCCCCGCCCCCCCGAGTCACCAGTCAGGCAAGAAGGCTCCGTGGGCTCTCCAAGGTCGATGCTGTGCTTCCACATCTCCCCGTGCACCGACGGGTCTCTCGAAAGGGTCTCGAAGCAACAGCATAGGTGTCTTGTTGGTCTGCACCCTGAACTTCCAGACCGGTGGCCGCTGGGCAGCGAGCTGTCCACTCCCTTCATGGACCAAGTCCCGCTCAGAGGCCCCCCAACCCCGCTGCATTGGAAATTCCGCCCTTGCAGGGTGCACAGTGGAGACAGGAACACCTGCTTTGTCCGCCGCTGCTTCGTCACCGTGAGACGGGGGGACGTGCGTCCCTAAACAATGCCATCCTCTGCCTCCGTCTGCAACAGGGCTGTTCTGGACCGGCCCCTTGGTAACCCGAGAAGCTCTGCCCAGCTCACATCGGGGACGCTGAAGAAAATCAGTCACAGGACGCAGCCTCCTGCTTCTGCCAGCTGGCGCTCTTGCTGGCGAAGCTGCTGAACTCAGGGCAAACACGTGACTCCTCAGCCTCGTTCAAGGCCTCTCGAAACGTCCGGCGAGCAGAGGGGGTCCGGTGCGCAAGTGGGGACCTCTGAACAGCACTCAGAGGTCCCGCGTCCGTTCCTCTGCGCATCAGCATTTCTTTAGAGATCCTCAAACCGTCCTCCTGGGCAGCCGCGTTCGAGGCCGCGTTCGAAACCCCCCTGAGCTGCCCGCGCTCCGGAATCTCCAATGTTTCCGACATTCTGCTCAGCCCCAGAGCCCGGCCTCAGACTCTACTATTCCCTGACAACTGGGACTCTACGAAAAAAATCCCCCAGAATCCTGAATTCTAGGAAGTCCCCAATCTTGGGACGTCGGCACGTCCTTGGAGATCCCGGTGCCGCGGGAGGTCGCTGTACGCCAAGTGCCAGCTGGTGTTCCTGTTGTCACAACAGTGGTTTCCAAGTGCTGGCTCCGCACAGGGTCGAGGTTCAGCGCTGGCCCGCCCGACGTCCGCCGCCCCCGAGATGCCGAGCCTGCCGGTGCCCGCGGGGTGCTCCGTCCCCAGGCGGAGAAGCTGGGCTGCCACGATGATCAGGATCTTCCAGGACCCCGGCCTCCCTCTTGGCCGACAGTCTTGCGCCCTGGGAGAGACACCACGCGGTTTTGAAAAGTGCGCGCGTGTCCGTCCACAGCTGGGCGTAAGATTCCTCGGGGCGCGGTCACGCTCCGCCGGGGCGGCGGCCGCCCCGTGGCTTTCTCGGGGAGTGAGGCCGGCGCTGCGGGGCTCTGGGCCCGGGGGCTTCGGGGCGCGAGCCTATCGCTGGGGTCAGGCGCCAGGACGCGCTCTGTGTCCTGGGCTGGACGGCGGTCCGTTCCCGCACGAGACTTCAGTCAACGGTGGCACCCATGGTACCGGGGGCTTCTCCGTCTGGGTGCTCTTGTCTCCCCGCAATGCGGCCTCCGGGAGTTTTTGTTGAGACCCTGCCAGGGGAGGCCCCACCCCATTCATTGGTTCCTTCGTGCGTTCGCTCGCGCATTCATTCATGTGCTCGTGTGCGTGCAGGGGACAGATCTGTGTCAAGGATGACTGTGCACCCCTGGGCCTCAGAATCGAACGGGACAGATCTCTTGTCCTCAGGGAGCTTGAGGGCTGGGGGGGGCCGACGGATGGACCCCGCAACATCGGGTCCCCAGGCTGGGAGACGGGAAGGTGGCTGTCTATGATCCCTGGGGCGTTTCCCGGAGAACCGTGGGCTCAGCGCCGGTGGAGTCCCCCGCTGTGGAGGCAGCCGTCTGGCTTTGAGGGTGGCTGTGGACGCGGGCTCTGTGGGCGTTATAGGAGGGGGACCCCCCCCCAAACGCCGAGTTGACTTATAAAACGTCGTGTATTTATTCTTCCGCGTTTCAACGGCACTCACCTTCCAAGGACCCTCCACGGCATGCGATACGCGGCGCGAGCCTTTTTCCCCGCGGCTCCAAACAGGTGTGACCACGTCGGTTTTGGCGCCTCTGGGCGCTCCTGCCATTTCTGGCGTCACCTCGTCCACTGCGGGAGAACGTTTCCCTCGGAGGAAGTGTCTCATCTGGGGGAGTCGGGTGAATAGGCGGGGATAGAGTGCAGCGATCGTGCTGTTGTTGGTCCAAAACTGCTGAACACACCGCCCGGTGTGGGCAGCTGTGCTTGTAAATCATCCACTAAAAGAGTCTTAAAGGGAGTCAGTGAAGCCAAACGCAGCCTCTCACAACAACACCAGCTGGTTCAGCGCTACAGATGGGTACCTAGAGAACGCGCCTCGCAGCGGAGCCCTGGACTACAAGGGGCCTGTCCCCCCGAAGATAATTCCCTTTTCGGGGGGCCCCCCCCTCATATATTGTCTTACAAATACTGGCCAGCCCTCAAGGTAATTTGTTTTTCATGAAACCGGATGGAAAATAATAGAGCTATTCGTGGCCTTTGTGAAAAGGGGGCCATGTGTGTTCCCCTGGGCAGCGCCGAGTTCATGCAAAGATATGTCCTGCACCCTCTCGGGGACCCGTCCGTGCCACCTGGACATGAGGCGCCCGCCTGCTCCTGCTGCAGGGACAGAGACGGACAAGACAGGGCTCCCAGGTCGCCGCCCCGTGGACCCCGGGGACACTCTTTCCATGCGTCACGTCTCCGCACTCGATGCTTCCAACAGGCTTTCAAGATACACACTGCAGGCACGTCTTGCTTTTTTCAAGCACCACGTCCTGTCCGATGCGTCCCATCCTTTGAGGGCAGAGTCGGGTCCCGGGACGCGGTCACAGGCGCCGCCCGGGGATCCGGGCGTGTATTCTGTCCGATGTACAGAGGGGAACATCAGCACAGTCTCACCTCAGCGGCACCTGCACAGACAGCCAACCTGGTCCCCCGCCAAAGACCGCTGAGACCGCAGTGCCCCAACGTGCCTGCGGCTGTGGCTCTGAATACAAACGGCCCAAGGCAGCCTCGCTTTCTTCCTTTGCCCTTCCCGTGTCCGGCTTCTGGTGAAATCTCCGCCTCGCTCGCTCGGCAAGAAGACGGGGAGGAACAGAGGGCAGGAGTGACCCCGCCCCCTTCAAAGCGAAAATGAACAGACCCACGTGGGTCGTTGGTTTTCCCCGTGTCTTTGACGTTCGTCCCGTGGACGTTTTCGCCTACACCAAAGCCGCGTGAAACGGGACCGGCCATTTCGTAGGACGTGGGGCCCCGTTGGGGCTCGGCTGCGGGGCGGTGCCCCCACCCCTGGCCAAAGTGAGCTGGGCAGCCGCCCCGGCAGATTCACGGCGCTCGAGAAGCTCCCGAAAGCCCTGGACCCACTTCCCGGATGAGCCTGGCATCTTAGGACCAAGGGCTCCTTGGTAACTTATGTGTGCAGACAACCGCTCAAGAAAAAAAATGTCCAAACGCTTCTCCAGCCAGAACACACGGCTGTTCTCCACCCAGAAATAATCGATGGGCAGCTCCACGCCAGACGGGGGAACGGATGCATCTCTGTGGAGTGAAAGTCACCCCTGGGACATCTTGACAGGAGAGAAGCGCGTGGCCTCCTGCCGAGGCCTTGGTTTCTCACCGGTGTGTGTCACGGGTGTATTAAATGAGGAAACTGACCACCCAGGGCATCGCTCCTGGGGCAAGGTGCACATGTGGCGTGTGTTCTTCCTGTCTGGGGGGGGCCTCCCGGGACCTGGAGGGTGCTGAGCACCGTCCCTGGTGTCCGCCCCTGAGACGGCAGGAGCAGCCGTTCACGGTGACAACCAAACGTGTCCCCAGACATCATCAACGGTGAGGAAGGAAGGGAGGGAAGGAAGGGAGGGAAGGGAGGAAAGACGGAGGAAGGAAGGAAGGAATAGGTAATAGGATGGATATGTCGATAATAGATGGGTAGATAGATAGATAGGTGATAGATAGAGGGAGGTAATAGATAATATTGATGCAGAGTTAATAGGTAAATTGGTAGGCAGGTAAATCGATAAAGGTAAAGGATAGTATACATACATAGTTAATAGGTAGATGTATAGGTCGATG